TTTTATATGCACCGTAGTACCACAAACAGTTGTTTCTCATCATTCTTAACAACTTCAGACGAAATATTTCCACTTGTGGCTCCGTATACGGATCGAAAGTTGCAGTTGCCGCAATCGCCAATTTTTGCCTCTCAAAAATTTTGCTTTGATAAGTTGTAAAAGAAGGGGATTCAAGTTTGCTCCAAAAACGAACAACAATTCTGGTAGAACAAGATTTTCTCTTCTCAATGGTATAGGTACTTTGCCGTTAACCCAACCGCTTCATCGAAAAACGGCGACAAAAATAAAAAGTCGACGAACTTATGAAACGACCTATATATTTTCCTTTCCAAGGGATTGTCTTCTCAATGCTTCTGAATGCTGAATGAGTACATAGTAGTAACTAGATTTAGTAATCATTGAAAAGAACAAGAAAAGATTTTCTAAATGATGTTATACTGCAATAAGTACAAAAATTCTCAGAAAATGACGGCAAACACAAGGCAACCAAAAATGAACATAACTTCTGGAACACCCTAGTATCTCCCTTTCCCATAATTTTTCCCATCCCTTCATATGCTGGCTATGAACAATCAAAGCTCGTTTCCCATTGTATTGCTGCCACTAAATCTCAGTGTTTGATGCTTGAAGCATTGCTTTTGAGCGGTGCCCGTGTGATCCTTGTCGCTCCGCGTTTGTTTCGTTTCTGCATGAAGATTAGTCACTCCTTAATTTCAGGTCTCCGTGGCTTACAAATGATGGATGGAAAGAGCAGAAATATTACAGAAGTGGCCTCTCTCGTGACAGCTAAGCTATAGTTTCTTATTTTTCTTTCATCCGTTTTGCTTACTCTGTGTTACAAATTCTTCTTTTTTGACTTTTCCATCTAAGTGCCAGAAAAAAAAAACAGCGGCATGTGGCACTACGTAGACTTTTTGTTGAAGTGCGATCTATTCCGCCATTGACTTTGGCTTTGCGTTCCTATGTTCTTTATTCAGTTCGGAAAGTTGTTCTTTTGCGTGGTTTTGCTGACTTTGAACATTTTCAGAATCATGACCTAATATCCTTTTGTTGCGTTCTTGATCTTATGATCTCAGTGATTACCAGTGATAGTCTATTTCAGACGTCTGACCAAGGGAGATCTTTACTGCATATCAGATTGTATGTATAACATCGATCACACTTGCTTTACATGAAATTGCTTTTTTATCCTTCCTGCCTGCTTTTTCCGCAACATTTTTTGAATTTATCTGCTTACCATTTTTATTTGCCATTTTTTTCCAAAAAAAAAACCTTTGCATGTTTTTCGTTTTGTCGATTTGCTCGAGCATTCCAAATTTTCGCCCAACAAGAGCCTTGATGTCATCTGCTTCCTGAATCGGTTGAACTTGAGAAGTTCGGCCATTTGCCAAAGCTGGCACAATCTATGCACCTTTTGAACTCATATAATGGTATTGTATATGTTCCAGCTCCAAATTTCAAAATTCGATGACTAGGGTTTCTAGGCTTTTGTGCTCATGTGCATAGGCCAATACTTCCATATTATTCTCTCTAATTTCTGCACTTTCCGTACTGTCGTAATTATTTTCCATCAGTCGATCACAGAGATGAGCTTGTTGATGATTACCAAAATTTTTGGCCTGATGGTGGCCTGAGAGACGAATTTGGGATATCATCTTGCTCAAGGAAATCGTTATAAAGAATGTTTTTTGTGCTCATGCCACTCTTTCTGGTGTACTTCGTGCGTACTCTTGTAAGATTCGTTGGGTTCACTCTCACAAAGATATTTAATAAGAAAATCGAAGATGCGCACAAAACTGCTAAGATTTCTCGCTGACAAATCTTGCGCAGGCAAAAAAAATGACGTGAATGAGAGCTCCTACTGCCATTTATTTGGCCGGACTTTGAAGGAAGTAGGTATCGCTGTTCTGTGATGTGATACCAAATTAACAATATGCGGTGAGTTACTAAGCCGACTTCGTCAAGGTTTGAACTCATTCATGTGTTGCGGTAATGAGAGCGTAACTTCGAACCGCTCGCAAAGCAGTACCGTGATTTTCTGCTGCTTCTTAGGGCTCGAAAATCCGAAGTTACGACTAAGCTGAGCTTTACAGCCCCACTGATTCTGAAAACTTGACTTGCATCTAACAGTGAAACCAGGACTCAGAAATACTATCGCTCTCTTGTCGGTTGGATTAAGAGTGGCGGTGCAAATAGTAAACTTATGGCTGCATTACTGGCTGTAGTTTATACCTGTTGTCAGATTGATTTTGCAAGATTAGTCAATAAGATTTTCTATTAGATTGGAACAAAGGTCTTGCACCAGTTTTCAAATCCGTATTCTCGTTCATGTTCAATGCATCTGTTCAAAATAATATTGGAAAGAGGAAAATTTACCCCTCTAAATATTACCAAAGCAGGAATCATAACTGTCATCGCGTCAACAGAACCTTTGAATTCAAATACTTGAAATTACAATGATGTAGTTTATTTGTTAGTTGTGCCAACACGAGGTTCCGGCGAAGCTTTATTATTAGAGCGGCCTAAGTTTCGAGCAATCCTCGTCTTCAGAGGCCGTGGCTCTACCGCTAACGCACTGATGGTTGTGTGCGACCGCCTTCTCCGAATTAGTAGTGTGAATTTGCACTACTAATTGATTTGATTGACTGAATAATTTAATTGACTAATTAATTTGGACTACTAATGATTTGCACTACTAATTCGGAGAAGGCAGTCGCACACAACCACCAGTGCGATAGCGGTAGAGCCACGGCCTCTGAAGACGAGGATTGCTCGAAACGTTAGGCCGCTCTACTAATAAAGCTTCGCCAGAACCTCGTGTTGGCACAACTAACAAATAAACTACATCATTGTAATGCCGAGGTTCAAAGAAAAGAGGACAATTAAGCTGCTTAAAATTACGTTTTTCCAACTTAAAACCCCAAAAATGCTGAAAGGCTTAGCAATTTCCAAGTATACTTTTTATGTCTCATAATCTACGCTTCTTGTTTGAAATAAATTTTCTTATGTGGGCGATAAAATAATGTTTAAATCACTTACAATGAAAAATTGTACAGATTGAAACGCTGCTCTGAATTTTATATGAATTTTTGGAATTTTTGGCGCAATACTTCTGTTCTACCCCAATATATACATACATATGTGTGACATTCTTCCATTCCATTCTTCTAGCATAAATAACAAATTGCACACATACACTAATGATACACAAATTCAGGCAATATTGTTTTTTAAGTTTTTTAATATGCTCAGCGACAGAGCTTTTAGCTATGAGTATCTTAAGTTGCTTAATTGGAAGAGCAGCATCGTTTGTGAGACGAGAAGACGAAAATTACTACTATAGTAGTTGTTCCAATCTGTCAAATCTGACGACTCTCTAACAGATGTAAATGAAGATTATTACAAAGTTGCACATATCTAAAAAATATCACCTATACTGCTGTCTACTTTTCTCTACGCAAACACGATATCGTAAAATAACGGCACTTATATTAGTCTTTTATTTCGACCTGCCATAAAAGCAAAAGGAATATGGACAAATACTCAAAAATCCAATGCAGTTTTTCTCCCTCTTTTCAACGGGCATGTTTGAAAGCGATTTGCTTTTGTAATCACTAGAATAATCGCCAAAATTTTGGGCTTGTTTCTGCCACACCCAAATTTGGCAATTTCTCAAAATTCTCGGTCTCAACTTCTGGAAGACCTATGATAACAGGTGGATATAGTAAGCAAAGTGCAACATATTTTTTGGGCATCTCCGACTAGCTTTCCGGTACTTTTCAAGATGATTTTTAAAAGTCTTCACTTTTGCGAAGACGAGTGACATATGAACGCATCAGACGAAAAAACTCCGATTTATGTTTCAAAGACTATTACCATTTAACATTAACTTTACAAAGCAAATGAGCTTCCTCTACTTTGACGTATCGGATTCTGAAATTTTGCGTACAGCCATAGGCGCGCCCAAAAAATCACAGTTTGGATAATTTCCTCTTCGAAACCCGAGTTGCTTGTTGATCTTTTGTGAGGTTGGGCTGAATCAAATTTGGATTGACCCTAAAATAGTTTTGGTAATTTTGTAAAGTCAGCAGAAGCTGTCAGAAGAATTCATAGTGTTGCATTTGTTAGCTCTTCGCTGTCATCGATACTCTTTCACAAGTTTGAGATGAAAGATGTAAATTGCCAAGCTTGGGCATGATGGGGTTCAACATTTTTGCGATTATCTCAATAAGCACAAAGCAAAACCCTACTGCTGAAAAGAGGAAGAGAAACTTCGAATGGTTTTTGAAGTGCTTGCCTATTTATATTCCTCAAGTTTTTATGACGGTTCGAAAAAACGGAGAGATATCTATACGGCAGTGCCTTGTCATTCATTATACTAAGGTGTCAGGGTTGTAGAGCATCTGAAGATGGATAGAAGAGAAATTTTAAAATACCGAGAGATGAGCCGTCTCCTCACAGCCGTGCTCCTCTCTCTCCAGCGCAGAGGTGCGTGCATATTGCATATGAGCCTTGATTGTTATACTAGGAAAATAATAGTAGAGGTCTATTTCTAAACATACATTCATAATCGGAATTCTGCGTCTTTCTTGCAGAGAAACCTCTATCAATATCAATACTCTTGAGTTCATTGTGAGTTCCGGTTCTTTGTTCTTTATGCTCCGTAACGATGATAGCGCGTTTGTCATGACCCAGCTCAAGATCAGATGTGTTTTTTGTTGTATCCGTATTTGACGTAGGGTGAAAAAACCGTTGTTATCCACTCCATTTGAAAAGCTTCTCATGCGCACAATTTCTATGGTTTTTCCCTAGAAATTCTTTACGGCTTGCAGAAATATACTCTGGTCATTCTTGAAAAAGTAATAAATATCTTTGCAAATAAGATCTCAATATGCCATGTTGATTTTTAAAACAATGCAAAAAGTTCATTTCGCATCGGGAACAGTTTGAAAAGAACATTAATATCAGCAGAACTGCGGAACAATAGAAAAAGCGTTTCACTACTTTTTTTTAGCTTCCTGTGATCTGAATTGTGGTAGACGGAAGCCTGATGACACAGGAACAGGAATCGGAGGTTCAGGCTCTTTATCCGCTTTCATTGATTGATTCTTGGGCTCTTCTCCGTTCTTGGGCTTCGCTACGGTCTTGGTCTTGGGCAGCATGACTACGTGCTTGGGAATGCCTTCACCACCGTACTTTTCTAGGATTCCTGCTTTCCTCTGATAGTCTTGGATTTCTTTCTTTCTCTTTTTCGTGTCTGCCTCGGTCATCTTTGTCATCGTAATTCCATCACTCTTCGGTCTGGGGCTTTCTCTATCCTCATCGTCCGCTGGCGAGTCCTGTCCCAGTGGCAGTTCCGCTCCGATGTGAGCAAGGAACACTCCAGTTATGATTACCTAAAGAAAGAGATGATAAAAAATGGATGTGACTCACAAAGATTTGCTTTAAAAAGTAGCTTACAAGACAGAACAGCGAACGCAAGCTCATTCTTGACAATTTTCTGTTAGGTGCCGTTTTATAGGTGGTAGGGGACGGCTCTATGAATTGACTGTCAAACAATGTGCTATTATTGCACAAAGTTCCTAGCTTAGAATGCTGGCAATATATTTGTGTTGAAACTGTTTGAAAGTACAATTTTCATAACATAAGAGTAGGATGAAGCCTATTTTTGGAAAGATTGTGATCATGTGCTTGCAGACTATATCAAAGATTGAATGGTCTTGGCTTTGTACATTTGCACACTACCCTATTTTCAGGCGTATAAGCCGCACTTCAAATTTATTAGCGAGCTGTTCAGCCGCTTCACTGTGTTTCGGAAAGCGATCCTTATGCCGCACGATCCTTAGGCAATACGCAGCACGATGTATGCCCCTTTGGTAGCATCCAAGACAGAGGGCGGAAGTTTCTCACCCGTGTCATATTCTCGCACCTAAGTGATGTGCCTGCCAAGGACATTCGAACTCGCTATAATAACGAGCTCCTCAGGATACAAGACATTGCAAGCCCCGCCCCACTCCAGTGCCGCTTCAGATGCTGTAACAGGAATTTCAAAGCAAGTTTCAAAATCGAAGTTCAGTAGCGAAATTGCTCGGAACCAACTTTCGGGTACAGAGATTGCTCTTTTCAATATAAGGTTTGTTTGTTGCAGTGACAAGGTGCAGCACCGATAATGCCCGACCAGATCAGAATTTCTTAATTAGGTTTTTTTACCATTTTAGAACAAGAGCGAAGCTTAGATTTACGGGCTCGAAGTCGCTTTTTTTAACGACGTATGTTTTGTGCAGTATCAATAGCGATTTGATTTTTCAAACATTTTTTGGAGATAAAAAGTGTGTGTCTCACAAAAACCAATTATCTCCCTGAATGAAATGCCAAATGGAAATACGTATGTGATTCTCCGTATTATTAGGTTGTTGTTACATAAGTCTTGTTACACTTTAACTTCTTACGGCGATAAGTCATGCATCTCATATTCTTTACAGGGTTCCGGGGTACCATTCGATAGAGCAAAGCAAGCTCTACAAGGCGGTCCGCAAAAGTTCGCACCAACTTCGACCCACTTCGTACTGAAGGCTCAAAAAATGGCGAGAAAAATCATGTCTTCGTACAAAAAATTCCTACGAATCTCCAATTTGCTCATAAAAATTGTGCACTCCATCAGATACTCATACATATGTACCGTTGCTTTGTTTTTTCCTCATCTAGAAATTGAGAAAACGAAAATTTGCTTGTTTTTACAAAAACGAAGGTATGCGGTTTCTATTCATGTAATTACAAGCCCCTAGAAGTATAACTGTGAATTTTCAGCTCCCAGAAGCCCTAGTTTTCGAAAATTACCTAATTTAGCATTTAACACCGAGTGAAAAAAGCTAAATTCGGTGTTTTTCAAAAACTAGGGCTTCTGGAAAGCTGAAAATTTGCGGTTATTCTTCTAAGGGCTTGTAGTATAAAGCTACGTAAATAGAAACAGCATAGCTCCGTTTTCATAAAAACAAGAAAATTTTCGTTTTCTCAGTTTCTAGATGAGGAAAAAAATACAGCAACGTTACATATGAGTGTCTGGTGGGATGTGCAATCTGCGTGTACAAGTTGGAAATGCGGAGGATTTTTATTTTTGGACGAAAACGTGAATTATTCTTTAAATTCTTGGACCTTCAGTGCGACTCGCATTCCGGATGCAAACTTACGGTGGGCCGAAGTTGGTGCTCTTTTGCCGACCATCTTGTAGAGTTGCTTTGCTTAATTGAATGGTACCCTGGAGCCCTATCAAAATTATGTTCACGACTTATCGTCGTTAGAAATCTAATGTAACAAGACTTATATAACAATTCAATAGTTTTTCCTAATCTCAGTTTTGAGACTATGTTAGGGTACAACATTGATAATGATATTTCTTGAAATATCATAGGTCACTAAGTGATTGAGGCTGATCCAGTGCCAGAATAGTAGACCGAGAAAGCTCGGAATGGTGTCAAACAACACAGAAAAATGTCTTTGTTATTTTGAACACCAACGAACTTGAACTTACCCTACGGATAATTTTTCCAATAGCTCATTCATATAATTCTAGATGATCTAATAAAATACATTTTGACTAAGTCCGAATTTTGATCTCAGTTGGGCATTATCGGTGCTGAACCTCTACTTGCAGCAAACAAAGCTCACTTCTAAAAAGTGCAACCTTGAAAACCGCTACGGAAAGTTGGTCTTGATTGGAGGAATGTTCTTTGAAATCCCGCTTTCAGCAGCTGAAGCGACACTGGATAAGGGGTGGGACTTGCAATATCTTGGTAACCTGAGGAGCTTGTAATTATAGCTAGGCCGAATGTACTTGGCCGGCACATCATTTGAATACGAGAGTATGGCTCGGGTGAGGAACTTCTCGCACCCCGCAAAGTCCTTTGGCGTGTTTGCGACGCCCGATTTTAGAAAAGAAACTTCCGCGGCTTATACACCTAAAAATAGGGTTGTCGATTTTGTGAGTCATGTCACCACATCAAAGATAGCAGTTTTATATCTTATGTTGCTTACGTTCCCCAAATGGTAAAAAGAGGCAGAGACCATTTAGATGTTACGATTAGCGAATCTAAAATAGGATTGGTTTGGAAGTATTGTCAGTTCAAATGACCCGCATCTTTTACAGTGGAGACAAACAATCTTTTGAACTGCATCGGATGCAAATTTCCTCTCTCCTCTACATTCTTAATTTGATTTATTGTGAGAGTGCTCAGATATTCGCTGGAGAGCCTGGTTTTCACCATGTCTGACTTTCTCTAATTTTCAATTTTCTGTCTGAGACTTCTAGAATGCTTTGATAGGCAGACAGATAGGACAAACACACTGCCAACATTGCCAGCTAAAACAATTTTTCTTGTTTTAGCTACTCTTTCAGAATTTTGCGGAATAATTCTTGAAAAGTCTCAATTTTTGAAAAAAAACCTGTTATTGCGCCAAACACTGCAAAATCTTTGGAGCACTGAGGTTTAAGCACTTGATTATTGCTAACTAATCCTATAAAGTAAATGAGCAATTTTTGCTGTATATGAAGACTTTGAAAATTAGGGTACGTCAATGCGCACTGTAAAATTGAGAAATACTGCGATTTTGCCGTAAATTCGTGTTTCGCCAGGAAAAGTGGTAGAAAGAGGAGGAAAATTTGCACTGAATAGAACCTGAACTGTTTACCATCTCATGTTCTACGAGGTTAGAATAGACCGATTATAAGATTTGGTCACTCCAAAAAATAAATTAGAAATTCTGAAAGACAAGCCAAAGAGCTACAAAAAACTGCGTTGGTTGGCAAAAGGTTTGCCGTATCTGCTGGCTATGAACCCCCCTCCCCCATACATTTATTCATCTTCAGCGGTTATGCCAGAATACCGCGCGATGATTGCTTGAGTTAGGCAACTTCGATTTCGATCGCTTGATGACAAGAATCCATTCTTGCTCGTGCCAAACTGCGCATTCTCATTACGTCGCGATCTTGATCCATGACTTCTCGACTCAGTAGACGCGGTGGACCAGCCACGGTTTCTTCCACCTTTCTTAATCCTAACTCTGGTGGATGGTATAAGTCAGAGCTAAGAGCTAACCGACCGTTTGCGGGAAGGATGAGGAGAGAAGAGACCCCCCCCTCCCTCCCAGTGAAGATAAAAATTCTGAAAATTAGCGAAACACAGACAAGGTGAAAAGGAAGGGTTGTTCCAGCGATTATCCAAGCCGTTTCTAAATCAATCGTATTAGGAATATGGCAGCTGGAAAGGGGAAGAAATCTTGCATAAAAAACTGGCAAAACTTTTGAACCGATCTAATATTAGTATTAGGCTGTCCCAGAAGTTTTGTTGTTTTTCATTGATCACTAAAACTCCAGAACACCAATCCAGGGAAGACTTAGGCACTCTTTGATTCAGGTTTTCATACTCTTTCCTACAGCTGCATTTGCTTTCTGACGCTGTCTTTGCGAAGTTATCGCCATGTGCTTTACTTGTAAAAATATCTCCAAAAGAGACTAAGATAAATATATTCAAAGACTTTCAACCATATAAGGAATAAAACGGGATTAACTACGGGATTGTACGGATATCCAAGACGCTGTGTAGTACGTGAAGGAATGGTATGATCTCCTATGTATACACTAACAAGGGAAGGATACTAACTTAGATTCGAATCTCGAGATGAGACACATATATTTGGAATCAGCATTGAACGCTGATTCCAAATATGCTGTTCCTAACTGCTTAGCATTATTCCGGAGCGAGTTATGGGCTTGCGGTTGTGAGTAATTAACAAACTTCTGAATGTCGTAAGACGGCGTAAAGATAAGAATCTGCTCGAAAAAAGTGCTAGGATGTTGAAGTAGCATCAGATTAATTTTTTCGATCTTGAAAGGGAACATTATAGAATTGCAAAACCACCTAGACGTAGAAACTGTAGCTCGAAAAGCGAGCAAGCTTTGCGTAGAAAAGAGACCATAACTTGCTTCAGAATAATGCTAAGCAGCTAGAAAAAGCATATTTGGAATCAGCGTTCCAACCTGATTCCATATATATATGTCTCTCATCTTAGTAGGCCAATCTAAGTTAGTATCCTTCCCTTGTAAGAACTTCTGGCAATGGGTTGTCGTAGTCAAGTTGGCGCTTGGCTTTTCCTCATTCATAGATTCTGCAACCGCTGTTGTTTTGTGAAACAGAATCACAGCAATGGCTTTCATCGCCCAAAATACATATTTCGCAATGTTTAACTTACGAAGAAACATAGTCGTTTTATTTCATGCTAATACAAGAATATTTTCAGCCTTTTATCCTTCTATATATATAAAACCGAATGGTGTACTTGTCTGCACGCTGGTGGATGCTGTCTGTACGTCCTCGATGGTGTTTTTCTGGTCGATGGTGTTTTCGTGTCTGTCGTTTTCCAGTATGGAAACTTGTTACTACTTCTACCAAATTTATCGATTACTTGCAAATGAACTACGGGGCTGGGAGTTG